AACCTTTTTTTTCATCAAATTTGAGTGAAAATTAGGTATAATATTTTATCCATTATGGAAACTCCAATCCTTACTCTTTTCAAAATTTCATTTAATTTAAGTAAAAATATGACTATTGGAAATTTGGTGGAGGATTTTGTTCATCCTTGATTTGTTCAAAAATTTCTCTCTCCATCTCAGTCCTTGCTCTTTTAAAAATTTCATCAAATTTGAGTAAAAATATGACTACTGGAAATTTGGTGAAGGAATCTTTGATTTGTTGAAAAAATTGTTATATAAATTTGATGAAATGGTTGTAACTTGGATCACACTTCTAGTCATTTTTCATCAAATTTGAAATTGATAAATGATCAGAGATTCTCTAACCTGTTTTACAGTTGTGAACTTGTGACTATCCATTATAGTTTCCAGTGCTTATGGTGCTGTGCATATTAATTTGGCACTGGCTTTATTGAGAGACATTGCGATTTATTTTCTGAATGTTGTCTTTTGTAAGCATCTTATGCCTCTTTCCATGCCAGGGAGTTTGTAAACAGTGTTTGGTGCATCAAGATACTCTCTCCGCAAGAAGTGCATCAGATGGGCAAACGCGGTCTGGAGCTTCTAAACTCGGTCCCAACACAGAGGCTCTCTGATAGCAACTGTGACGACTACGCAAGTGGACAGGAGTCAAGAAATTTGAGCTCTGGGATCGCATCTATGGGGTCTCTTGATTACTGAGATGACTTAACCAGTTAAGATGCTATCCTTGTCTTCTGTAATTTTATCGTTTCTTCCAACTAGTATATGGTGGAAAGGATTGCCTAATTCTAGGTTAAAGCTTATATATAAGCAACTGAAGTGTAATTATATAACATAAAATCTTCCTTGTTTCTACGGTTTAAGTAAAATACAAGAACCTTATTTATTAGGAGACTCATGTTTTCAGAGATAGCTTCTGTTTATATTTTCTCGCTGGACATGGACATGGAGTCTAGTTTATCGGTTGGTCCACCACTCTCTCTCTCATGTTGGCATAATTGAACTTGAAACCTGCCCATTTTGATCCATGAAGTATTTTTCTGTTAGAACTTGAAAGAAGTATTTTTGTTTTATGGTCAGCCAATTGTTTGTGTGAATTGTTGCACTTGAAGAGAGTGGATTGTGTCTTAAAAATTACATTGAAATGGAATCAATTCCATTTTCTTGTGAATGTTCAGATGTAGCTCCAAATGGTATTCCCGGATTATCTAATAAACAGGGTAATTATTCAGTAGTCTTGAAGTCATGTGGCATTATTCACGTGGTGTTGACAAACCTACATTGAAATGAAATTATCCTTAAAAATTATATGGTATTATATATGAAAGTAAAAAAAATTATATATATATATATATATACTAGTACACAATGTCTGTCTAAAATTAGAAAGGGGACCATGTAGCCTTCTTGAGTTTTTAACCTTTAGGCCATGTTTGTTTGGGTGGACATGAGATTGGGATTGGACTAATAGTCCAATAAAATTATTAATCTGATGTTTGGTTAAACAATTGAAATATGAAAGTAAATTTTTTTTATATATATATATATATACTAGTACACATTGAATTCCATGTGTACGTCTGTCTGTCTAAAATTAGAAAGGGGACCATGTAGCCTTCTTGAGTTTTTAACCTTTAGTTGCTTCTTATTGTGGATGTGTTTGAATTAGGAATTTGAATAAAAATTTAGTGCAAAAAAAAAGAAGAAAAAAAGATGGGTGAAATATAAATGAAATATTATTACATTTCTTCTATTTTTTTTTCTTATCAAATCTTTATTTAAATTTATGATCAGCATGAACACACCATTACACTTGGTCTGCACTTCATGTTGGCTTGATTTGGTGTAAATTATTGCGAGGTACAAGTATTTAAACATTTATGAATTAGCTAAAAAGCTAGTTTGCTAAAAATAGATTCATAAAATGGTTAATGTTTAAAAAATTAATTTATTCAGTACATTCATTGTTTTTTTTTTTATAAAAAAAAAGAAAAATGTTTGGGGGCCCTAATTCTGTGGCTCAAATGTGGCTCAAATGTCTAAAACGACGTCGTTTTGGCCATTTTGATGTTGTTTTGTACTCAAAACGACGTCGTTTTGGCCATTTGAGCCACATTTGAGCCACAGAATTTGGGCCCTCTACCATTGCTCAAAAAAAAAACTCTTCTAATGATTTTTTAAAGTGATTAAAGTGAATTTTTTTTATGGGAGATTAGCTTGTCACATGAGGGAAGATATTTTTAGCAAAATATCTTTATTATTGGCCAACAAATTAGTTCCTAAGAGTATCTTCAAGGGAATAGTTAAACAAGATTTGTTAGGTATTTTATTTTATGTAAGTCTAATTTTGAGCTCCAATGGGCTAGTATTATGCTAGTTACTTTACTATCCTATTTTTTTGGTGGCTACAATTGAAGAGCCCCCAGAGGCTTTCCAAACAATTATGTATGTATATATTTTAGATTTTTGTATATTTATGTCTTGGATTTGGGATTATATATATATATATATATATGTATGTGTGTGTATATAGCAATTTTATCTGTTCTTTCAATTCTGTTTGATGAATTACAGAATAACTTATTTTGTATTTTGTATTTTGTATTTTTTTTCTTCTTCTCATTCTACAAGTTTTGTATGTTTGTATGGGCAAATTTATCATTATTGCAAATTTATATTAGTAAAACATCAATAATTAATATTTTTTATTTTAAAAATTAATTAAGTTAGTTTAAATGATTAGTTAAAATAAAGAACGTGGTTGGAGAACACAATAGCTAAAATAATTAGGTAAAATAAAGAGTACTTTTTTTTTTGTACTTTAATTAGTGCAAAGTAGAGAGTGTGATTGGAGTTGCTCTAAGTCTGAGTAGTCTCCCTCAACTTGTTTTTTAGTTATTTTGAAGAGTCTTTGATTCAAGAAAGAGTTCCAATCAGTGTGTTTGGTTTGAGTTTTTTGGATTAAATTTTTTAAAAATTGAGTATTTTGATTTTCGTGCTTTTTTTTATTTTTATTTAGTGATTATTTTTAAAATTTTAAACATTAAATACATAAAAATATAAAAAATGTACTGAATTCTTGTATTTTTTTTTTATATTTTTGGTATTTAGTGAATTTTTAAAAGATTTTTTTTTATAATTTTTTTACTTTTTAGGTGTATTTATGTTAGGCGTGTCTAAAAAGTAAAAAAAAAATTGTTGAAAATATTTAAAAAATTCAATAAAAACAAAAAAATACGAAAAATAAAAAAGTAAAATTTTTGAAAAACTGTTTTTGAAAAAATAAAACCAAACAACCTGAGCTTCAGGGTTCCCTATTATTGGGAAGTTCGAGCTCCTAAATAATACAAATTTATTTCTTCACCTTTCCACCCTCACCTCTCTTTTAAACCTCACAAATTCAAATGAACAAAAAATGAATATTGCAAAAATAAAGAAATAATAGGAAACATTGTTAGAAACTCACTCACTTTTTTACTAGAATTTATGGGGAAAAAAATATGGAACATTACAGGAGATGCTCCAATCTAAAAGTATCTCCATGTCAATTTTAAATTAATTAATTAATTATTTATTTAAATTATTTTTACGACTACAATTGAGAACTTTCATTTTCCAAGTTACTACGGCCATGATTGAAGCAAGTGACCAAGTACTTAAATTCTCACTTTACAAAGTAAATTTTGATTATACACTAATCATAAATATGGATTAAGATCAAGACATGTACATGTATTTTCACCCCCAACATAGGATATATTAGGCCTGTTTGATATACCTGAAATAGAAATTAAAAAAATATTTTGTATCGCTTTCAAATAATTAATTTTTTTAGTTTATTTAAATTATTTGTGCTTGATAAGTAGAAATTGTACTAAATAATAACAGAAATTCTAAAATTAAAGTAAATTATAAGGGTAAACAACTAATATGTCCTAACAGTTAGACTTAATTCCCATCAAGTCTTATTGAAAATAAATCTTGATATAATTGTCGCTAAAATTAATTTTTTGTGATAATTTTTTACATACATCGCTAAAAATTGACAATTAGTGACTTTTTTTGTCATGATTTTTATACGTTGTAGCTAAAATTCACAATTAATGACTTTTTTTATGATAAATTTTTCTCATAGGACTTATTAAATAATAAATTCACTTATTAGGATGTACACCTAACTACTCCAAATTATAATGAATTGTTTTGAAAAGTTGATTAAAAATTAATTTTTTAAATTTTTTAAAAATATATAAAAAAAAATAAAGAGATATGTAACCTAAAATAAATTAAAAATCAAAAAATAATTTTTTATTATCTTTCCGATCGAGGCCAATATTGCAGCTACTGCTAGGCAACTAGGTTTAGTGCCATATTTTTTTATTGTTTTATTTTTATTTGGACAAATTATATATATTTCCCTTGAGGTTTGATTAAATTACAGATATCTTTCTGAGATTTTGAAAATTATATCCCGCTCCTTAAAGTTTGTATTTTCATAACAATTTACCCCCTGAGATTTGAATTTCATAACAAATTATCCCCTAATTTATTATGCAAATATAACATTCATGAAAAAAATTATAATTTTTCAAACCTCAAGAAAGATATTTATAATTTAACCAAACCTGAAAGGGAGTATATGTAATTTGCCCTTTTTATTTTTATAAGAGTTACTGATAGACTAATAATGACAGTCTAGATTTACTTGTTGAAGGGTTGTTGGACTCCAACTAATCAAATTCTCCTTTTCAACTTGTGAAATCCTTTACATGATTGTCCCTTTTTTTTTTTAATATAAAGTCATAAAGTTGCAATCTTTATAACAGAATCTCACTTAGATTGCCTAGTAGCAGCTATTCTTGATAATTACATATCATATCATGATTTATGTGTATCTAATATATGATATGGACATTAATTCAATGCTACTGACCAAATATCTTTACCTAAAAAAAAGAGACCAAGTATAAATTAATATTATTTACTTTTATTTTGCATAAACTTCTAATGCCTTCTATTTGTGTTTAAGAGTAATGATTCATCCCCTTTTTCCCCCACTCCCTTTGAACCCCTCTCTCTCTGTTACCTTTTCTTTTTCTTTTTCTTTTTCTTTTTCTTTTTTTTCCTGCTCCTCCAATCACCCCCTGCCACGTGGCAAAGGGGGGTGAGGGGTGACCCCCAAAAGGGGGTCACAAGCATTATTCTTGTGTTTAAATAATAAATATGTATATTCCATAAATGTCTAACCTAAAAATAGTAATGGGAGATGTCTTGATATATGTCTAACATGTGTTCAGATGTCTGAGGAGAATTAGTTTGGGACATAAACAAGAAGTGTTTCTGTTTGTTAGGATAAAATAAGAACATGGTCTATGATTTGACAAAGTGTATGGCACTATTGAGACAAGACTTGTTGCAAAAATGATAAATATAAATTGCAGACAATACTTGAGAGATGGCTTCTCAACAGCTACACATGTTGATGAGAGTGAAAGCCAAAGCTCATAAACAACACTTCAATGGAAAAACATCTCCATTCTTATATATATATATATATACTAGTACACATTGAATTCCATGTGTACGTCTGTCTGTCTAAAATTAGAAAGGGGACCATGTAGCCTTCTTGAGTTTTTAACCTTTAGTTGCTTCTTATTGTGGATGTGTTTGAATTAGGAATTTGAATAAAAATTTAGTGCAAAAAAAAAGAAGAAAAAAAGATGGGTGAAATATAAATGAAATATTATTACATTTCTTCTATTTTTTTTTCTTATCAAATCTTTATTTAAATTTATGATCAGCATGAACACACCATTACACTTGGTCTGCACTTCATGTTGGCTTGATTTGGTGTAAATTATTGCGAGGTACAAGTATTTAAACATTTATGAATTAGCTAAAAAGCTAGTTTGCTAAAAATAGATTCATAAAATGGTTAATGTTTAAAAAATTAATTTATTCAGTACATTCATTGTTTTTTTTTTTATAAAAAAAAAAACTCTTTTAATGATTTTTTAAAGTGATTAAAGTGAATTTTTTTTATGGGAGATTAGCTTGTCACATGAGCGAAGATATTTTTAGCAAAATATCTTTATTATTGGCCAACAAATTAGTTCCTAAGAGCATTTTCAAGGGAATAGTTAAAACAAGATTTGTTAGGTATTTTATTTTATGTAAGTCTAATTTTGAGCTCCAATGGGCTAGTATTGTGCTAGTTACTTTACTATCTTATTTTTTTAGTGGCTATAATTGAAGAGCCCCCAGAGGCTCTTCAAACAATTATGTATGTATATATTTTAGATTTTTGTATATTTATGTCTTGGATTTGGGATTATATATATATGTATGTGTGTGTATATAGCAATTTTATCTGTTCTTTCAATTCTGTTTGATGAATTACGGAATAACTTATTTTGTATTTTGTATTTTTTTTCATCTTCTCATTCTATAAGTTTTGTATGTTTGTATGGGCAAATTTATCATTATTGCAAATTTATATTAGTAAAACATCAACAATTAATATTTTTTTATTTTAAAAATTAATTAAGTTAGTTTAAATGATTAGTTAAAATAAAGAACGTGGTTGGAGAACACAATAGCTAAAATAATTAGGTAAAATAAAGAGTACTTTTTTTTTTTTGTACTTTAATTAGTGAAAAGTAGAGAGGGTGATTGGAGTTGCTCTAAGTCTGAGTAGTCTCCCTCAACTTGTTTTTTAGTTATTTTGAGGAGTCTTTGATTCAAGAAAGAGTTCCACAATCAGTGTGTTTGGTTTGAGTTTTTTGGATTAAATTTTTTAAAAATTGAGTTGTTTGGTTTTCGTGCTTTTTTTTTTATTTTTATTTAGTGATTATTTTTAAAATTTTAAACATTTTTTTACTTTTTTAGATGCACCTTACTTAGATGTATCTAAAAAGTTAAAAATTTGTGAAAAAATATTTTAAAAAATTAATAAATACATAAAAATATAAAAAATGTATTGAATTCTTGTATTTTTTTTTATATTTTTGGTATTTAGTGAATTTTTAAAAGATTTTTTTTTATAATTTTTTTTACTTTTTAGGTGTATTTATGTTAAGTGTGTCTAAAAAATAAAAAAATTGTTAAAAATATTTAAAAAATTCAATAAAAACAAAAAAATACGAAAAATAAAAAAATAAAATTTTTTAAAAACTGTTTTTGAAAAAATAAAACCTAACAACCTGAGCTTCAGGGTTCCCTATTATTGGGAAGTTCGAGCTCCTAAATAATACAAATTTATTTCTTCACCTTTCCACCCTCACCTCTCTTTTAAACCTCACAAATTCAAATGAACAAAAAATGAATATTGCAAAAATAAAGAAATAATAGGAAACATTGTTAGAAACTCACTCACTTTTTTACTAGAATTTATGGGGAAAAAAATATGGAACATTACAGGAGATGCTCCAATCTAAAAGTATCTCCATGTCAATTTTAAATTAATTAATTAATTATTTATTTAAATTATTTTTACGGCTACAATTGAGAACTTTCATTTTCCAAGTTACTACGGCCATGATTGAAGCAAGTGACCAAGTACTTAAATTCTCACTTTACAAAGTAAATTTTGATTATACACTAATCATAAATATGGATTAAGATCAAGACATGTACATGTATTTTCACCCCCAACATAGGATATATTAGGCCTGTTTGATAAATAGAAATTAAAAAAATATTTTGTATCGCTTTCAAATAATTAATTTTTTTAGTTTATTTAAATTATTTGTGCTTGATAAGTAGAAATTGTACTAAATAATAACAGAAATTCTAAAATTAAAGTAAATTATAAGGGTAAACAACTAATATGTCCTAACAGTTAGACTTAATTCCCATCAAGTCTTATTGAAAATAAATCTTGATATAATTGTCGCTAAAATTAATTTTTTGTGATAATTTTTTACATACATCGCTAAAAATTGACAATTAGTGACTTTTTTTGTCATGATTTTTATACGTTGTAGCTAAAATTCACAATTAATGACTTTTTTTATGATAAATTTTTCTCATAGGACCTATTAAATAATAAATTCACTTATTAGGATGTACACCTAACTACTCCAAATTATAATGAATTGTTTTGAAAAGTTGATTGAAAATTAATTTTTTGAATTTTTTTAAAATATATAAAAAAAATAAAGAGATATGTAACCTAAAATAAATTAAAAATCAAAAAATAATTTTTTATTATCTTCCCGATCGAGGCCAATATTGCAGCTACTGCTAGGCAACTAGGCTTAGTGCCATATTTTTTTTATTGTTTTATTTTTATTTGGGCAAATTATATATACCTCCCTTGAGGTTTGGTTAAATTACAGATATCTCTCTGAGGTTTTGAAAATCACATCCCGCCCCTAAGGTTTGTATTTTCATAACAATTTATCTCCTGAGATTTGAATTTCATAACAAATTATCCCCTAATTTGTTATGCAAATATAACATTTATGGAAAAATTTATAATTTCTCAAATCCTAAAAAAAATATTTATAATTTAACCAAACCTAAAAAGGGATATATGTAATTTGCCCTTTTTATTTTTATAAGAGTTACTGATAGACTAATAATGATAGTCTAGATTTACTTGTTGAAGGGTTGTTGGACTCCAACTAATCAAATTCTCTTTTTCAACCTGTGAAATCCTTTACATGATTGTCCCTTTTTTTTTTAATATAAGTCATAAAGTTGCAATCTTTATAACAGAATCTCACTTAGATTGCCTAGTAGCAGCTATTCTTGATAATTACATATCATATCATGATTTATGTGTATCTAATATATGATATGGACATTAATTCAATGCTACTGACCAAATATCTTTACCTAAAAAAAAGGAGACTAAGTATAAATTAATATTATTCACTTTATCATTAGATTATCCATTATTTTGCATAAACTTCTAATGCCATCTATTTGTGTTTAAATAATAAATATGTATATTCCATAAATGTCTAACCTAAAAATAGTAATGGGAGATGTCTTGATGTATGTCTAACATGTGTTCAGATGTCTGAGGAGAATTAGTTTGGTACATAAACAAGAAGTGTTTCTGTTTGTTAGGATAAAATAAGAACATGGTCTATGATTTGACAAAGTGTATGGCACTATTGAGACAAGACTTGTTGCAAAAATGATAAATATAAATTGCAGACAATACTTGAGAGATGGCTTCTCAACAGCTACACATGTTGATGAGAGTGAAAGCCAAAGCTCATAAACAACACTTCAATGGAAAAACATTTCCATTCTAATTTGTAGTTTCAGAAACTACCAAATATGACACATGATTTAAACACAGCTTTTTATTTTCTCACTCTAAATCGTTACTTAAATTTATGTTTCAAACACAACGTAAATATAAATTGTAGACAATACTTGAGAGATGTCTTCTCAGCAGTTACAGATGTTGATGAGAGTGAAAGCCAAAGCTCATAAACAACACTTCAATGGAAAAACATCTCCATTCTAATTTGTAGTTTCAGAAACTACCAAATATGACACATGATTCAAACACAGCTTTTTCTTTTCCTGCTCTAAATCGTTACTTAAATTTATACTTCAAACACAACCTTAATATTTTTAATGAGAAGGAAAGGAATGAAATGAACTAATAGGATTAATAGGATCAATGAACAGAACACTAGTCTTATTAACCAGAGCAGAATAATCTCATTTAACATAAAGACATGAGCATTACATGGTGTAAAAAGTTCAGGATTATATATGGCGAGAAAATTGAAAACTGAATTTTCTACGGACTTTCTTGTCAACTAAACATCTAAGATTCATTTCATTTGAAAGAAATAAATGGTGAAAATTAAAAATAGTAGCAAGTGAAGTGAAAGAAAAAAATATATTCTCATATGAAATTGAGTAGGATGAAAATTTTGAAAAATTACAAATTCTAAGTCACTACTTTTATAAACAAATTTGAACTTTCTTGCATTTTCTAATATTTTTTTTACAAGAAACTAGAAACTTAGTCACCATACTATCATGGGTTGTAAAAAAAAAAATCAACTTTCTTGACATTTCCACCACTTCCATGCTAAACAAACAAAAGAAATTTTTTATTTTTTCCATTTGTCTCACTTTCTAAAACTTTCATCCTAACCAAACTTAACCATAATGAAAAAATTATTCTTACATGATTTCCTTTCCTTTCTTTTCCTTTTATTATGATTTTCTTGACAAGTGAACAGAGCCTAAGTTTTGGCAGTAAACAATCATTTTGGAATGTCAGTCCCATTAGTTATGGAAAAGCAGGCAATTATACAAACTTTTCATTCATTTCACAACATCTTCAAGCATCAAGCTCTTTAGTGTAAAAATTAAGATGATTTGAGTTCAATCCTACCTAATGATAAAACAACATAAATTAACAATTTATGCATCAAATGCAAAATTTTCAGGTAACAAACTTACACTCCGAGGCTTTGCACAGTAAATACAAGGGCGGATAGCAAAAAGGGCAACGCTCCTTTGATGATGAAATCTGAATCAGAGCACAAACGGGCTAATTTTGCATAGTGATTGTATGGTGAAGCAATTTCGTATTTGTACTGTTTTCTGAGTTTATTACTACCAACCGCAACAGATGAAGGAGGATGATGGGATTTGGCCTGTTTGGCGAATGTATTCTGCCTGAGCTGCCGCTCTCTCGGCCTGTCGATTTCTCCTAGCTTCGGCTGCTGCCCGTTTTTCTTCCGATTTTTGCCTTGCCATTGCTATCTTCTGCACCATCTTTGCTTGAGCATGTGTTCTCATTTGTTCAACTTGGGCCTGAAAAATAATAGCAATTTATGCTAAAGCTAAAAGATACTCAGCATGTAATAATAATCTATGCTAATAAAAGCCACTCCATATGTGACGGTCCTACAACTAAATGATAACAGTATTTCTACTTGCACAGAACCAATCACACACATGGGTGTGGGACATCCAAAATGGTAAGTCTCACCTCATGTGAGAGAGTTGAGTTCGGTGCTGCGATCAGTTTCTGTGTTCACTTTTTTGAAAGATAATCACCCAATTTAAGAAATGGCTTGAGCATCGCACCATATTTCAGAATAAGTTCGAGTCAACCTTCAAGGTAGGTTATTGTTTAGATTATAAATAGTCCATTGAGGTTTTGAAGTTCCTTAATATCTTTCTTAAGGCAGTGTTTGGATCCCGAATTAATTGAGGAAAAATAAAAGGGAAAGGGAAATAGACTTACTTATACATACTGAATTTTTATATATAACTAAACAAAAAAATGGATTTATGACAAATATGTAATCATTTTCTTCTCATTTTCCTAACCCAACCAAAAAATAGAAAATATTTTGACTCCTACTTCATTTTCTTTACCTATCTTTGCCCAGAGCCTTAATCTTCGTTCCTCTAAGGTCCCAAAATTTTATCTATCAATGCTTATTTTAATCTAATTGATTTCAATTAAAATATAAAATAAAAAATAAAAAATTCTAAACACTGTAATGAAGTACTTCCTATTGATATAATAGGAAAAAAATTGAACTCTCAAATACCTCTATCCTCTTCATCTCTGCCTCAAGTTTTGCTTTCTGCTGACTTTCCCATGCTTGGATTTTGATTTCTTCACGCTTGTATCTGCAAAATTTTCCACATCCTAACTTCAAAATCTATATTGGAAAGTACAATGTTTCAAAACGAGAAACTGAAACTAAATGCCATTGATCAGCATTAAAATGTTTGTTTAAAAACAGATTCAAGAGCACAGGTTGTGAGAAGAAACCTCGCTGCATGTTTAGTTTTTTCAGCTTCCTCCCACGCAGCTGCACGTTTTTCGAATTCAATTTGTTCGAGCTTTGCAGCATCCCCGGTTTCAACTGCAGAGCCATTTTTTTCCTTCTCGTCTTTACTTGCCCACGCAGCAATATTCATTTTCCCAAGTTGGACACCGAGGGCTACTATCTCCTGCCTTGTCTTGAGCTTTAGTTCGTGATCCGACAATTCTCTTTTGCTATTATGTGTTGTACATTGTGACTCATCATCAGTGGTTTGCCCATTGGGGGTCGGTGCAGGTGCTCCTCGAGGACTGGATGGGATTGAAGAATTTGGGCTGCGAAGGGGTGTCGTGGCCCCCACAGGGGTTCCGGTCCTTGAAGGCTCTTGACTTGGAATAGGGGTCATCTCTGTTCCCATGTCTCTCATTGAGACCGATCTTATGGCAGGAAGACCTGTTTGATGATGAAATGTAACATCAGGAATTTAACAACTCAAAAGCTTATAGAAAATCTATATGCTCAGAAAAAACATCTAAAGCAGAAAAGATATCAACTTCCATTTTCACTGATAGAATTATTAAATGTGTATTGCAAATACATTTATGTAGTCATATATGTACAAATAAAATGACCACTAAAAATTTACACACAACAGATTTTTTACACAGGTGAAGACTGAAGTGCATGTGATGGCTTGGAAATTTAAACCTGTGAATTTAGAAGAAATCATCTCATAGAAAATCATTAATTGGATCAATGAACTAGCAAGTCATATCTTCGTCTGTGTCAACAATAAAACAAATGTATGATCATTGCCATCAACTGTGGGCCTTGGAGGAACTTAGATTAACAAAATTTCTTTGTATGCATCATTCCTCAGATGTTTTACCGACTTGCACTTTGGTATCAACTTAAATGTATGGCAAGCATCAATCAACAAACCTGTGGCACATTTCATTGATATTTACAGGACATGATATATATGTTCCACATATATTCAACAACGGAGAGTTGTTAAAGAACAAAGAAAAGATTTTGCATCATAATTGCCCCAAAAAAAAAAAAAAAAAAAAAAAAAAAAAAAAAACAAACAAGTAAAAGAATCTTCAAAACAGAGGTTGATGTATGAACTCTTTCATGTTTGAAGCCCGGGTGTCAAATTTGTTTGGAAGCTAAGAAGCATGGACACGGATACATATGCAGACACGGACACGCATGCGGACACGAGACACGGCGATTTCAAAAAAATAAGGACAAAGACACGGCAAGACACGACAAGAAAATATAAAAAAAAAAAAAAAAAAAAAAAAAAAACAACAACAAACAAGTAAAAGAATCTTCAAAACAGAGGTTGATGTATGAACTCTTTCATGTTTGAAGCCCGGGTGTCAAATTTGTTTGGAAGCTAAGAAGCATGGACACGGATACATATGCAGACACGGACACGTATGCGGACACGAGACACGGCGATTTCAAAAAAATAAGGACAAAGACACGGCAGGACACGACAAGAAAATATGTTTTAATATATTTTTATTTACTATCTAGACTAATATCGCATTCACAAACAATCAATATTAACAAAAACTAACTCAAATTCTATATTATTTATAAAAAAAAAAAACACTTTTAAATTAATATTTACAGTTTATATATTTTTTTATGGATGATGATCTATTAAGTATTTAAATCTAAGAAAAATAAATAAATATTCAATATTTATCAAAAGCACTAAAGAAAATGAGAAAAAAAATAACTTGACATGTCACTAGTGTGTCCCTTGAAAATAAATGTGTCCCTATCGTGTCCGTTTGTCTGACATGATACACCACTTGTTTTGAAGTGTTGGTGCTTCATAGTTTCAAAGCCTTGTCTACGGAAAAACAGTCTCCAATGAAAACTGCAAGCATGTCATGAGGATTTTTTTTTTACTTATTTAACAAGGAAATCTTGCATTCCATAAGACTGGTTCTGGGTTTTAACCTTGGGCAACCTACCATCTTCAAAGCATTTTGGTCTCCAATTTTTGTTTTTTTGTAAGGGTCAAGCCAATGACAGCCCTTTGGAGTTAAAGATCAAATAATACCAAAATATTTTATAATCCCAAAACACTTTCACGTATCTCAGAACACCTTCACATAGTTCTATATATTTTTTATACATTTTAGTACACAATTACACATTTTTCAACATTAAGAACAGCTTTATGGATTGCCTTTAACATTCTCCTTTTAAGAAGACTGCATAACATAGTTCTTGTTATTCCTTTATAACTTTCCCAAAAGGTATCAATGCATATGTTGATTGAATTACTAAAAAGATGTGATGATTTACCTGTGTTGTCTTCACTTGAATTCTTTGTACAAGATGAATCCCCATTGTCAACTTCCTTCAAATCCTTACTTTGAGGACACAGATCAATTTCTGCAATTGCAAGGTGAGTCCCAGAGGGAAAATTTGAGACCTTCTCAGAGCCCATTTGAGATGTTGGTTGACAGAAATCAACCCGCTTAACCGACAACTTTTGATCATAACTAGCAGACTCCGGGGCTACCCTCACTGTATTTGACATCGGCAACCGATTTACTTGGCTTTGTAAATGGGTTTTCTTGGAATAATTAGCTTGCATATTTTGCCTATTCATTATCCATTTCTCTGCATCATTCCACTTAGATGACATAGGTCTTGATAGTGATCTTGTCAATGGATTGTGCATTGATCTCTCCCCTTTATGAAACTCAAAGCTAGATGAACTAGCATTACTATCATAATCAAGATTTTCCTCTTCTAGTGTTCTCACCGGGTGAACTGAGCTTGAATTTCCGCTATCACTCTTTGAAAATTGCTGCATTTTAACAGTTTCCTTCTGCATAAATTCCCTAGGTTGGCAAGAACTCTGGTCGCTCTGGCCAGCATCTAGTGCCGCACTGTTTGATAATTTCACTGATGAAACTTCTAAACTGGAAGCTGCAATTGAATGGAAAGACCAAAAATCAGCAAAAAAATTATTTTTTATTCCCCTATATCAGGATATAAAAATCAGTTCAAAATTGAGTTCAATAAGCAGAAACAACTAAACTAGGGCCTGTTTGCCAGAACTTATTCTGAGCTGAAAATAGATATAATCTATAAGCAAAATCTAAATGCGGCACTCTCCCAACTTCAGGATAATCAAATTTGTTCAACTTATGTACGCTATCTTTACTGTAGAAGATGTAAGCAGAAGCTGTAGGGCCTGTTTGGTGAAGGTTCTAGCAAAGCTGATAGTCAAAAATCATAAGCTAAAAGTAGCTCTCCTTGTTTCTCAATACGCCTATTTTTTTAACTTATTCAAATTATTTTTGAGATGTAAGTAGAAGTACACCAACCACTGGCATAAAATGAAAAATTATAAGCAGCCTCCACCAAACAGTCCCATGACCTATAGCAAACGCTCTGGAACATAATTCCACAATAATTTTTTATAGAAAAAAAAAGAAAAAAAACCCTATTCACCTGCAGCAAACAAAACCTAAGCTTAGGTACTGCAATTGGAGGACAAATCCCAGAAACAGTTCACAACTGGCACAATAGGCTATATAGGGGATAAAGACCAGTTCAAAGTTGGATGCAATATATGCAATGACAACTAAAACAATTTGAGTTTATTTGGTGCAACTGTTCAACTAAAAACAGTTTCCAATAATGGGTATGGTGTAGAAATCAAGATGGAGAGGATAGGGCATGGCCATACCTTCCTCATCAAAGTCACCATTATTTAACAAACTGTTCTTCACAAACTCAACATCCTCAAGCTTGGAAGGAGATGTTCGTGAGGAGTTACTATTTGATCCATCTTTCTTTCTCTGCTGGTGGGCGCCTATTAGCTTCATTCTCAATTTACTTGGAGAAATTATACCAGTCTACATTACCACAGCAAAATATCAATAAATAAATAAAATCAAATTAAGACAAATAATTATAAACCAACCCTTGGGAAAGTTTTCCAAGAAATTTTCAACATTGATAGAATCAATTGAACAGAACAAAACCCATTTAACCATGTAATGGTTAATTTCATGTGAACACCAAATGGGTTCACGTACATTAATTTAAAAAAATTTAAAAAATCAAATCTTTGGAAACTCAAATCAAGCTCAATCAAAGTGTGTCAAAACACCTGTTTTTCACCGATTCAATAATTTCTACACAAAACCCATTTCAGAAAATACACTGTTTACACAAAATCACAAGATGGGTATGAGATCAATAGCTCCAATTGTGTTGAATTGACTTCAAAGACAGTACAAGTATGAGATTAGTCTATATGGTACAATGTTGAATAGGCGTACAAAGAGAAAGAAGCCATACCTGAACTTTGTGAATCCTCTCGTACTCCATTAGATCCTTCTCTCTCTCTCTCTCTCTCTCCCTCCTCACTTAGTGAGAGAAAGTGAAGCTGAGGAGGCTTTAAGACCAGTTAGGGGGTGAAGGTCGCAATCTCTCTCTACAGTTTGTGCTGCTAACCAACAGGCGTTACATAATGGGTTGGCGATCTTTTACCGATTTATTATAACCTTTCCTCGGCGATTTTCAATATTTAAGGTAAGTTACATTTATGGTTTGTTATGGCTTCATTTTTCTTAATCAATAGGGAAATTATTAGTCAGTGAAAAACTACTAGAAATTATTACAAATTTATTAAAAAAATTATAATTATAATCATTAATGTGTACAAAGTTTGTCGTTTATTTGTAATTTTTTTTTTAAAAATCACTTGATTGAAATTTTCTATAATGAAAAATGATTACATTTTGCCATTATAATCATCTAATTCATTTTAATAAACTTTTGTTAAGGCCTACTATGAAAAGATAACGAAAATGTGATAGTCTCTCCGTTTTCAAATAATAGTTTTTTTGGGAAATTTAATTTTTTTGATAGTACAATTAGTACATTTTAAAATATTAGTTTTTTGAAATTATCTTTTGGATAGTATATTTTTTTTAAAATATCAATTGTCATAATTGTATTTTTTGTGTTGTTAATGAATTTAAAATAATGACAAAATAAGAAATTTATATTATTTTACTTCTTGATTTTTAAAAATAGATTAATATTTTGAGATAATAAAAAATAAAATAAAAGATTAATATTTTAATTTTTTTTAAACAAACCTCTATGATCAGATCTATTCTCATTTAAGTTAGGCTGAACCACTGAGGTGCAAGCTCGGCCAACAAAATTTTTACCCTTACTTGCATATGCTAATTTAATTTAGGGCTAAAAAGTCTCGTTTGGCATAGGATTTTTTTGGATTTTTTACTTTTGTGAGAGAAAAAATAAAATGATTATTGTTTAGATGTGATGTTTTGTTTTATTGGGTTAAAAAGTCTATATTGTCTTTTTATGACTAAAATAGTCAAAAAGTCAAAAAGCCTAGCATGCTAAACGAAGGCTTTCAGTATTTAAAAAATTAATTTATTTACATATTTTTGACATTTTTAATGACTTTAAAAATGACTTAAGTTAATTTTTTTAGCGAGAGAGAAATATAACAAGTTTGTTTAAGCAATTTATCTCTTTGAAGAACAAGAAATAATGCTTTAATAATGGCAAGCACAATACGTATGTAAGAGTGAGAAGCTCCTACAAAATTTGATACATTTTCTGGTATTATTCATTCCTTATCCATTATGGGGTTGTATTTAGTGGAGTCGAGTGTTATTGGGCTTGCGCTTAGTAGGCTTACCAATTGATAGTTACCTAAAATTTGTTGACTTTTTATTTATTGTGGACTAATAATTTATTAGATAATATATGAGAAATTTGGTTATAAATTTCTTTTACCTTCTTTTTATTGTTAAAAGAACTAAGAAAAAAATTATACTTTCTAAATCCCCTCATAATTATAAAGTCTTGCATAAAAGACAAAATTTATTATTTAAATATTTTATTAGACTATTATACCCTCAACTAAATTTTCCCACCTTTTCCACCCACTCTCTCCTCACCTTCTCTGTCTCTCTCCTTCCTCTTTCCTTTCTGACTTTGTTCTCCGCCGACGTGCTCCTCCTTCCAGATCTGAAGCTTTGTTTCTCGACAATTTTGGTAACTTCTTCTTCGGCGATGATAGCAACGTCATCGTCATCACTCTCCTAGCCAAGTCCGGTCAGTTATCAAGCGAAACTCCGACGATCAACAATGCCGAAACCGATCTCTACGATGAACTCATCAAGAACATCGGGAACAAAATCAATTACGGGCCGAAAAATTGTCCTCCGGTGCCAAAATCGAAGGAGATCGTCTACGAGGAGAAACAGATCGTCTCTAAATTGAGGCATGTTTGGTGGAGTTGTTTGGTTATACATATTTTTTTAAACACAGATTTGAGTTTTGAATATATGTATATATATATATATATATATTTGTGTGTATGAGTGTTGTTGAACACATATATTTTTTTCATTGAGATTTATGATTGTTGATCGAGTTTTAGAAGTTTTTCTTCTCAATTAGATATGTTGATTTGTTGATAAATTTGTTTTGTTTTTGTTTTTGTTTTTTTGTCTTTTTTTTTTATTTATTTTTGTTGTTTTTGATCTAATTTCATTTGACAGAACCAGAGTAAAAATTTACTCTGGTTCTATTACTCTGTTTTTTGTTTCAGATAATGAGAGTAAAATTTTACTCTTGTTCTATTGCTCAGTTTTTTGTTTGAAAGAATTAGAGTAAAATTTTACTCTGGTGTTAGAATGATAGGAAAATTTTACTGTCAAGAGGTGGTCATTGCCAAACACTTCAGCCGCCACAAACACTGCTTTCGCTTTTTTACTTTTGTGCAGAGTAACATTTTACTTTTAGCTTCAAAGTCTCACAGTTTACTCGTTTTTCAGAGTAAAATTTTATTTTTATACAGAGTAAAATTTTACTTTTGTGTAGAGTCTAACATTTTACTAATTTTTCAGAGTAAAATTTTACTTTTAGCTTCAGAGTCTCATAGTTTGCTCGTTTTTTAGAGTAAAATTTTACTTTTATACAGAGTAAAAATTTACTTTTGTGTAGAGTCTAACATTTTACTAATTTTTCAGAGTAAAATTTTACTTTTAGTTTCAGAGTGTAACATTTTACTCTTATTCAGAGTAAAATTTTACTTTTATACAGAGTAAAATTTTATTCTGAAATACACAGTGAAGATGGCTTAATAGGAGAGCAGATAGATATGAGGGTAATATAGTAAAAGAAACAAGTTTTAAAATATTAAGGGGTTTTAAAAGTACTTATATAATTCTTATCCTTTTGAAAGACAAATCAGATAGTGAGGGGACTATCACCAAATCCCCCATAATATAATACCGATTAAAAAAATTGAGAAGCTTAGGTTACATGATATTTGCCCCGTTTCGTATAACTGTTAAAATAGATTATAGATTGTAACTTAACAAATTATAGATTTTAACTTTAATCAGAAGTTATTAATTTGTTTGGTATAACTGTTAGATTATATATTTAATTTGCTAAGTAGTGTTTGTTAAATAAGCTGTGAAATAGTTTTTTCAATTAACTTTTATTTTTTATTATTCACTACTTATGTACATTTCTCATAAAAAATAATAATAATATTCTATAGTCCATTTGGGTCTTTTTCTATCTTTAAAAAAAATAAAAAAAAAAAAAAAATCAAAGAATATAACCGTAAATTAATATATCCATAGTAGAAGCTGACAATAAAAAATAAGAGGCGATTAGCTTCTCAGAATCAATTTTTTTGACTTAAAATAAGTTGTTAGAATCAGAAACTGTTTGAAATAAGTTTAACCAAACAACCTAAAATAACTTTTCAAAAGCCAAAAGTCTTATGTTGATTCAAAAAAACCCAAACAAACACCCCATTATCTGATAGGCATATCCAATTATAATTTTTGCCTTATGAATGCGTATATATAGTTTGGTTGAAAGGAAGTATTTAGGACCGACTTTTAAACAGTGACAATGATTTAAAACAGACCCACGTTTGAAAAAAAACAGTGTCAATATGATGTTGAATTTGAATTGAATTTGCTTTCTTTACCTAATAGTTTACTGTTTCAAGTAAATATATCATAATCATTCAGACAATGTCTGAAAAAAAGCAATTTTTAGTTAAAAAATTAAAAGATTATTATAATTTGTCAATTCATTTTTTATACATTTTTTTAATTAAAAAATTATTAAAGAATCAATTTTCATAGGAGCATTTAATTGCAAAATTTACTTGACAACATTGAAGTCATGTTTTCAAAAGTTGATTTCAATTGTAACATTTTGTGAAATTGTGTCAGGATTTCAAAAACAATTTTTATTAAATTTTTAGTTAAAAAATTAAAAGATTATTATAATTTGTCAATTCATTTTTTATACATTTTTTAATTAAAAAATTATTAAAGAATCAATTTTCATAGGAGCATTTAATTGCAAAATTTACTTGACAACATTGAAGTCATGTTTTCAAAAGATGATTTCAATTAACTTATTGTAAAATTTTGTGAAATTGTGTCAGGATTTCAAAAACAATTTTTATTAGAAAAATTAATTCAAAACAATTTATTTTTAAAAATAAATTATTATAATAATTCGAGTTTGGTAAAAATAAAAAAATAAAAATAAACTTTACAACTAAGAGTTTCTCTGATAATTAGACACAATTGCAAAAAAAAATTATATAAACTTCAAATAATGACAAACAGGTGGAAGTATTAGTTGCATAATCTAATGCATCAAGTGTTTGTACTTTTTTAACATTGCAATTATTTTGTGTTTAGATCATTTTTTTACAATTCTCCCAAACTTTTACCATTATTAAAGAAATAACAAGAAATTTTCAAAATTACCTGTCTGATAGTGAGGTAAAACAACTATTGTTATAATTCAAAGCTTATTTAATTTTATCAATTCAAAAGGAAAGCAAAAAAATAAAATAAAAATAGTATATATATATAGATAAAAAACAATTTCTCATTCAATTCTCAATAGTTTTTGGTTATTCCTTTTCTGGGGTAAAGACCTTGTTTTAAAGAATCTAAACTCATTTAATCTCGCATCAACCAATGATTGGAACCTACTTTAATTTCACATTAAAGTCACCATAAAATCATTTTTTCCAACAATTTTGCCTTTTTTTTTTTAGTAAGTGAAAAGAATTGGCTTAATCACATGTAATTTAATAATTCGTAAATTGTTTACTAATGTTTTAGTAATTTTTAATATCATGCATGTGATATTTCAAAATTCATTCAATAATCACAAGAAAATATGTTCTTTCTCACATGCTTTTTCTTTTACCAAATTTAAGCTTTTCCAAAAAAAAAAAAAAAAAAAAAAAAGAGATAATGTGATCCAAATAAATTAATAAGTTGACTCTTTTTTTTTTTCTGATTGTCAAAATAAACCTAAGGTCTCGTTTGGGAATAAGGTATTTTAGTAATTTTTTGATTTTTTATGAAAAAATATGCAAAAAAAAAAAATG